TAACAGAGCTGAGAATTTGGTGTTTTGAATTTTGATTGTGTTTTTGTTCTTGCAATTTAAAAATGACACTGTATACTGTTTAAGCACTTAAACTGCGTAGCCTGTTTTTTTAAATTCAAGCTTTGGATTAGTGAAATGTGGAACAAGAATTGCCCAATACATTACACTTTCCCTTCTTTTTAAACTTCCTTGGTTTTTTTCTAACGGAAACAGAAATATAGCACGGTTTCTTTTGAAATGAGTGCTGTTGATCACCAAAATAATTTCAGCCTACTTAGTTTGTTTTATTTTTAATCAATACAGGTATCTCAATTGCTATAGAATATTGTTCTCAAATCTTGTACAGTCTATGAGCTGACAAAAGATTGTACCTCAACCTCTGTGGAGAAAGGAACATTGCTGGAGATGAAACCCTTTTCTCAACTGAGAGATTAGTTTAATTTAAAAAAAGTCACATCCAGACAGATATCCCTTTATCTAGTTCAGTCAGTTAAAAAGTAGTGTATATAAATGTTCACTAGTGTAGAACTGTGGAAGACTAACATCATTGTACAAATTATTTTTTGCAACTTTTTCCCCAATCACATTTTTTAAGATGTTTGAAGATTTGAAAGTCTAGAACTATTGCTTTGCACAGGTGAAGTGACTTGAATCCCTGGCTTAGTGCTGAGGGTTTAAAGCAAACTGGAGCAACGTCAGAAAAGTAAGTTTCCACTAAAGCATTGCCCTATTCTCTAGTGATGTTTGAAAGTGACAACTATTAATAGTTGTTTACTCTCACTCTAGCACATTTTCAGGTATGTACTTGTGACAAGTGAAGTTTCAGTTAATGTAAAATTGAGTATTGAATCTTAAAGCTGTTTTGTACTTCTGAAGAGCAGATATGAAAATCTTGTGCAGAAGTGAAGCCAATGGAATCTGTCAATTATGACCACTTAATGCTTTTGACATTTATCTGCAAATAATGCACTGTATATACATGCCATTTTTGGTGCTTTCCTGTGTAAAGTCTTAGATGGAAGGGGTAAGTGCTAGATTTTACAATGGTCAATATCAAGAATGAGACATGTTATTCCTGCCCTTCACATTTTAATGCAACCATTATACAACAGTTGAAGAGATTCAGTCACTGGAGGAAGTGTCTTATTTTACCTGACTTGTGTGATACACATGAGGCAAGAGATTGAAGATTGTAATAAACCTGTGCCAACAAATAAAAACTCAGCAGTATTTCAAAAACCAAGTGCTGACTTTTTTTTCCCTTTGTCATACTTATGAAGCGCAATCTTAATTTATTGTAATTTACATTTGGGATATCACACCAAAATATTTAGTTTGTGACAGTGAAGAAAATGTTTAAAATTTTTGGTAGTTCTTCTGTTTTACACATTAAATCTGAGGTTTGAAGCTTGACTTCAAGTTGAGATTAAAATCAAAACTTGCGTGTCAAATTATAGCATACTGTACCTAATACTCTCACTTAAACACATACATTGTACTTCAATTAGTGATTGTCAAAAAACGTTGCTCTTAACTATGTTTATCAAACTTGCCACTGATCAGGAACTAGCACCAAGCACTGGCATCACTGATCAATTCATAATGTCCCCTCCAGAATCGGAGTGATACAACAAGGAAGGAGACCATTCAGCCAGTGGCTTATCTTTTGTTGAGCCATCCACTTCATTCTACTCCTAGTACCCCACCCCCATTTTGTTTCCTTTCAAGAATACATTTTTTAAATTTACCAAAAACATTTATCTTCCCTATCTTTTTTCAGGTAATGGATCCCGAATACAACTTCTTAAAAAGAAGTGTCTTTATCTTTCAGTTCTTCTGCCAGTCACCGTAAATCTGTCCTCCCGGTTACTGATCCCTTTGTCATCAGCACAGCTGCACCTTATTTATTCCATTCAAATACCTCTCCAATTCTTTCAAACTCTTGTGAGAAGAACAGTTCCAGCTTCTCAAGTCTCTGCACATAACTTTATTATCAGGGCTGAAGGATTGGGGTTGCAAAGCTGGAATTGATGGGTACCAGGGGGAAGTTGTACCTGGCATATAGGAAGATGGTTGTGGTTGTTGGAAGTCAGTCATCTCAGCTCTAGGATGTCTCTACAGCGTGGATACCATAGCCACACTCCCTTTTCACAAATGGCTAATATGTTTTAAGGGAACTCACTTTTATGATTGATACACAAAGATTCCAAATGAAATGTTGGCAGCTAGGTGTGAAAACTGTTTTATTTCACTCTTAACATCTCTAATGGGACTATAGAAATGTTTCTCCTGTTTGGATGAGTTATAACTCATTGAGTATTATTGCTATTAGTCCTACCCAATCAAATGCCAGTTGAGTTTAATTGTGACAACTTTGCCATTCTGATGCAGGGTTAACAACCTGAAATATTAAGTTTCTCCACAGATATCTGAAATAAAAACAAAGTGCTGGAGAGACTCCATAGATCTGGCAGGATCTGTGAAGAAAGAAGCAGAGTTAATGTTTGAAGTCCGCTATTTCTCTTAATATCATGTACCTGCTGAGAATTTCCAAAATTTTCCTAATTTTATTTAAAATTTTCAGCATTAGCAGGACTTTGCTTTTCACATAATTGAGAAATATTTATATGACCTACCTTGATGTTCCAGTGCTATCGACTATGAATGGAAGAAGACTATTCAGTCCAACAACTCTGACCTGCCACTCAACGAGATGGCTGCTCTGGTAATCCTCAACTCCACCTTCATGCATTTTCCCCAGAACACTCGCAGATTAAAAATCCTTCTCAGCCTTGAATATACTTAACAAACCAGCCTCGACAGCCCTGGTGAGAGCAGAAATTCTTCCTCCTCTTTCTTAAATGGGTAGTCCTGACAATGCCTGCTAATCCTAGAGAGCAACCTCTCATCTTCTCCCTTGAGAATCACATATTTCAATAAGATCTCTCAATCTTCTAAACTCCAATGAATATAGACCCAAAGTATTCAAATTCTCATCATAAGAAAGCCCCTCTGTCCTCTGGGATCAGATGAATGAACCTTTCTGGATTGCCTCCATTGCCAGTTTTCTTTTCCCCCTTTAGATAAAGGGACCAAAACTACCCTCTGTATTCCGACTAGAGTCTGGTATAATTTGTAGCAAGTCTTAATACTACATTCCCTTCTGAAATAAAAGGCCAATGTTCCAACCACCTTAAAAACCGAAAGAACTGTGGATGCTGTAAATTAGGAACAAAAACAGAAGTTGCTGGAAAAGCTCAGCAGGTCCCGCAGCATCTGGAAAAAAAAAGTTAACGTTTCAGATCCGGTGACCTTTCTAGGACTTTAAGAGATTGATGAAAGATTTGGGAATACCAGTGGTGTATAGGGTTAGGTGGATGGAGTGTATTGGGGTGTGATGTGTTCAATTGATCATGTGATCATATTGAATGATGAGGCAGGCCCCACGATCGTAATTGATTACTTATGTTCCTAGGCCCTCAAATCCGTCCGTGCTGCGGCTTCCTGTAGTCTTTCATATTTAGACAATATTCAGCTCCTCCTCTTCCTGCCAAACTGCATATCCTAAAAATTTCCTATATTTGGGGGAATTTTGGACGAGATATTAAAACAGAGCCTATTTTTTGCTCAGCTGTGGTATTCAAAACCATCTATGGCTTGAATATGATGGGAAATCGCCAGGCTAACACAAGTGAATTGATTACAATACTATCTATCTTACCAGCTGTTTGAGAGCGTGAATATTTAGTCCACATAATTGAAGCAATTTATAGGCCGTGAAGTACTTTGGGAAATCCTGATGAAGTCAATACAACTATGTAAACTTCAACCAAACATTGTAACTCCACTGGAGGACGCTGTAGCATATCAATGGAATGGTGAAAATTGACAGTCCTTTCACCTTTCATGTACTAAGTTGATCGAATCCGCCTATGAAAATAAAGCTGTTGTATAACGATGTTCAAAAACTGAATACGCCAGCGTTTAAGAAGTGGCGCACCTTTACGTTAACGTCAATTAGCTGATGTCTGGAAAACGGCAATTGTCAAAACTCATTAAGCAGCTTTCTAGTCTCTTTGTCACAGTTAGTGGGGTTGAACTCAACCTCTTCACCACTGCCTCATTTATGCAGTGGCTCACCCAGTATTCTTACCAGTTTTGATTGATCGGGACTTTGAGAGTCCCTCTTTTTCAACTTCAATTGCGATCGGATTGCGCCTCTTGCGTCTTTGCTTGTCGACATTTTATTTTCTACGGTTATAAACACACACTCGATGATATTTGCTTTTCTGGTGAGCAGGGTGGCTTTTTTTGACATTTTTATTATAAAAACATAAATTTTCTATGAATAAAGCTTCTTTGTCTATGTACATAATATACTAAAACAATTTTTTTGCATTAAAAGAAAACCAAGCTTTAGAATTTGACATTCCTTGCAGTTGCAACCAAAAGCATTTCCTACTCATGTAGGACATACCCATTTACATACATTTGAGGTAACGAGACGGACCCTCGTTGTCCTATGGCGGAAAGACCTTAAGACGGTGGTCTTTCCCCGCTGCAACTTGGCGACAGTTTTGTTGGCGCGTTACTTTCGGACTTACCGTTTACACTTTTGTCCCCCGCTATCGAGCCACCGTCATCGAGTGTCAAATCGGCAGTTTTTAACCAGGTTAATTATTCATTTTCTGGTGGGACGTCAATATCGAAATAAAAAAACCCTCAACTACTGCGATAAACAGACCCCCACGCATTGTACTAAACATCATCTTCTTAGCAGTAGTTGCCGTGTAAAATTGAGTTGTCAGAACAACAGCTATGCTCTCCACGATATGTCCCTGCACAGCCAAATATTGTATTTTCCATGAGAACCAAAACTATTCAGCATACGGAATAAACCACATACGAACTCGACTTCTTGTCCCTATTTATTCCAATGATTTAAGTGTTTTTTTCTTGTCTAGAATAGCATTATAGGTTTATTTTCTCAGCCATATGGATATAAAACATTAGAATTTAATATTTTGTGATCCAGCAGGATGTTACACAAATGGAATTTCACATATACCAGTATTTATTATATAATGTGTAACTTGTATATTGCAGAAATATAAACCATTAATAGTATACAGAATTGAGTGTTTTCAATCAACAAGTGATGCCACAAATAAATGCTCGATAGTGCCGCCCAACAATTCATTTTGCAAGCACAATTTGTACAATGCTGACTCATAGGTGGCTCAGCCCATCGAAACTGCACTCTTTCCAGGAGCAATTACGTTCATCTCATTCACCGATTCTGTCCCCAATTCCCTGCAATATTCGCGTTCTTTAATATTCTCGCTCAGCATCGGAAGTCTTTTTAAAATGTAAATTAGTGACCACCTTTGCGCAGAGATCCCCAAACAGGTGATGCAATTTGGCACTTTGCAGCAAACGAAGACGGGGCGGTAGGAAAGTTAAATTACCTGACAGCTCAAAACAAAAATTGAGACGAAATCCGCGGGGTCCGCGATGTGCAGTCAACAGCTTTGCAAATCTCGGTTTACAAACCGAAGGTAGATCAGGAAGGATTCAGCGACAAAAAGGAAAGTTCCCGCTAAGTAATTAAGCCGTTCAACCGAGCAGTGTCAGAGACTTCAAGCAGTGATGGCCTTTTGTTTACCTAGGTCGGCAGCACAGGCTCATCCCCTTTTCCCTTCACCGCAGCAACGGGCGGCTAGGAGGAAGGCTGCTTCTTCCGGGGGAGGGGACAGGACATCGCCGCCAATGAAACCCGCCTCACTCTGACGTCACAACGAAAGGCGGGGCAACCCCGCCGCTGATTGGCCGGCGGTGAAATGGCAACAAGAGCAGGTGACTTGAGTTCTTGGAAAGTTCCTGGAAAGCAGCGCGAGTGGCTGCCGCCGCCTTCTTTAGGAGGCCGGGAGCTGCTGGCTTCGTCCATCCAGAAACAGTTGAGATTCCTCTCTTGACTATATTAACACGCTGCAGAAATGAAGCGAACTTCGCCTGGTAGCATCCTACGCTGGAAAACACACACACGTCCACACGTTGCACCCTTTGTATTTATCAATGATGCTTCCCATCAAATACAGTTCATTTGTTGGTCACCCATTCCGTGGAGACATCCACATGCACAGCCTGTATTTATTTGGAGGGGTGGGAGGAGGTGGAGAGAGAGAGAAAAAGAAGTTCAATGGGAAGAATTGGAGCCCCGTAGGCGTGCCTTGAGATTTTAACACGTTCAGTGATGCTCTAAAAGAGGGGACCTGAGCTTCCATTCGAGCTGTTTTCTGAGGGAAGACTCAGGTCTGCTCCTCATCGCCACGTGACCTCCCTTCACTTTAAATTTACTGTCTTTTGATTTCGTTGTTTTCTTTTACACGAAGTGAGGCCGCGTTCGCTATGGCTGGTAGATGCGGCTCGTAAAATCTTCACCTTCCTGCCCTGACCGGGTAACTGTCCATTGAGAGAAGCCCCGAAAGGAAAACGGCCTGTGTTGTGCGCTGCAAGTTCATTCTGTGCCAAGCATCACCAGGGGTTGGGTGGGTGAGGAGGGGTGTCAGTTAGAAATGAAGCAGCCCTTTCTGTTCAAAGAGTTAAATTAATTCCAAGAATCAGGGACGAACAAAAGATCTCCCCCAACCCCCACACACTTACACACAAAAATACACACCCTATTTTCGTTTTCTTTTGTACGCGCCCCGCTGTGCCTCAACTCTGTCACGATCGAGAGGGTTGAATCAGGCCGAATCGATTCACTTAGTGACCGGCTGCTGTTAGTGGAGTTACTCGGGGTGACCAAGCTTGTTCGCGGGCACGGCACGATGTTTGGAAGCCGGTGAACCGGCTCGCATAACAGGAAACGCTCCGATTAACGAAAAGGTGCGTACGTTAATGTTTTACAATCGTTAGGCACACGGCGGGAGAATATATTGGTTCGGTGCGCATTAACAAGCCTGCGAGGGATTGGGGGAAATGAGGTGGCAATTAGTTCATGTAAATAATGTGTTTATGAATGAATTACAAAAATGTGGTGGAATATCATTTTGAGCGAGCAGCGAGTACAGGAACTGATCAGAAGGCTCGTGTTCAATGTCTTTCGGCAATTGCGATTTTTTTTTATCGGACGCGATTGATTTTTACTCAAAACATTTTGCGCTCTTGCCTACAAAAAAATGTCAGTGCCGTAGTAACCGCTTTGGGCAGTTGCGATTCTTTTATATCGGAGCGATTGATTTTTACTCGAAAGCATTTTGCGCTCCTTCATGCATAAATTAATGTCAGTGCCGTAGTAAACGCCTCTACTGTTTGGATCGAGGTTGGAAAATGAACCCGAATTCCGAAAAGATGCTGGAGAAAATGAGTTTAGTCACATTTACGGGCGGCTAAGACGCTGCTGTTCGTATGGGAAGATTTATTTTGAAGCAGCGCGTTGTGTGAACTTTAATGTGGGAAGAGTTTCCGTCAGTTTTACTATTAATCAGCTTTCTCTTTGTCCAGATTCAGAGCGCTGGGAACAAAGCCTTTATTTTTCTGGCCGATGTAGATGTTTCGATTGAAGTGCGATCAGCAGTCATTTGAATTTATCACCCCTATGATCTGCCAGGAGAAAGCAGCAACCCCGCTGTCCTCCGGCAATTCGTCTCAGGACCCCCTTGACCTGCGGGAAGGACATTCTGATTTGTTCCGTATCTCCTGCACCATGAGTCATTTGGAGCTTACAGGTACATTGAGTGTGAATGTATGGATTTTTAATCTCGAGTAGATGTAGACGTACAGGTCGGTTTGTGAATGGAGTTCTGTTTTAAAATACTGGAATCAGTTTACCTATCTGAATGTGGCGGAGTGTCTAGGGTCTTTTTTTTCTATAGTTCCCCATATTTAAGTAAATACTCCTTTTTTATACATTTTTACAATTTCAGTTTTTGTTAAAATGCAATATACTTTACCCCATATGTGTTTCCTCCTAACGCTGTTTAGTAGTTAAATTCCAACCCACATACACGAGAACTCTAGTAGATGGGGAAGGCGACTAATGCGAACAATAAATATTTTTTCTTGTAAATATTGCAATTTCAGTGAAAATACTTGTACCTTTTTTGGAGTGGTATCGCACAAAAAGTGTTTGAATTCGATGGTTGTCAATGGAAACAGTAGCTTTAGCATCTTTCACATCTAAAAGTCTGCAGGATGAGTTTTCGTATTTGTTCCACTAACTCGTATTCAACACTAGAAACAGAAATATTTAGGAAAGAACCTATCCGTCATTTGAGAAAGAATAAAACACCCGTTTTATCAATTGTGATATTATTATTGATTTTGAACAGTAATACGTACAGAAGTAATCACTAAAATGGACTTTTTTGTATGTCATTACTTAAGGATATGTAAGATTTTTAGAAGCTCACTATTATTGAGTTAGGATGCATTTCCACTTGATCTGCTCAATCAAGAAGAAAACTGTAAAATGAGATATTAATTTGAAATGTGAAATGATAGAAAGTTAAGCAAAAATTCTCAACTTTATTAAAATAGTGTGGTAGAAAATTATTAAACAGCACAATTTGCATGTCTGAGTGGAGAAAAACATTGTGTAAAGAATTAATTTAAACTATAAACAACATTGTAGGAGGTTAAGTAAACAATGGGTATTATTTGGGGTAAAAGATCCTTCACATTTTTAGTACTTTTTTAACAGTTCTAGAATAAATATTGTTGAATGTATCTTAATAATGTAAATAATGCAAAAATGTCTTAGCAGTAACAGCACATGTTGATTTGCAACTTGGTAGTGAATGGAATATTTTATGGCATGTTGCCAGTATCTCATTTTAACATTAACGTGAACAATTCTATGAGAATGTAGTCACTGTTCCATTTCTGTGCGAGGTAAATAAATTACAATTGTGTAGGTCTACTATTGAGAGTTTTGTATGAATAGTTTGGTCACACAAACGTAAATCTTGACAGAATTCAGTTCAGTTTCATCATACTATAACTCCTCACTCACAGTAACCCCAACCCAAAATGATCTCTTCATTGTTTATTCAAGTAGATTCTATACCAAAATTCGTGCGTGGAGTGCGTAAAGCAGATGAAAATGACAAAGAAACATTTGAATTGAATGTTTCAAGTGAAATGAACGACAATAATGCAAGTGTTCAATTTATTAAGAGAAAAATTAAAACAAGAAATGGAGTAGGGCATAACAATCAACTGGGAACCCAAAGATTGCAAAAAAATCACCTGGCAATAACTGAATACTGAAAAGATGGCTGGGAAATACAGAAAGGCTGACAAGTCTCCTATTTTTAAAATAATACAGCAAAACTGACCTAGAAAAACATAGAGCTGAGAGTTGGAAATCTATTCTGGTTAAGTTTTCAGAAACTCTTGTTAAAAATACTAAGATGACATATGAATGGAGCTAAAACATAAACAATATACAATAATAGAGAGGAAATTTTGTTGATTAAATTTGCTTTTTTTGTTGTTGAGAAGTGAGCTTTCTAGTATTTTGATGTCAGTAAGGCCATTATTACATTCTTCTGGAAGGCTGGTACTGAAAATAAATGAGGATTCAGTGAAAATATTTCATAATTGTTGCACAATTGCTTGATTGATTGCTTTCATCATTTAGATCCTAAGTGCAATGGATGCTGGAGACACGAAATTAAAACAGAAAGTTCAGCAAAATTGTGCAGTTAGATCAGCTGAGTTTTTCCAGTCCTTTTTGTGTTTATATCAGAATCCAAATGATAGTAGATCTCAGAGATTGTTATTGGCCTGTGAGAATATTAGTGGTGAAGTCCAGGGAATAGTTTTGGTTGTCTCTTATTTAACATCCTAATAAATGATGTAGATCTAGGAGTCAAGGGCACAATGTCAAGATTTGATTCAAAGTTAATTAATTAGCATCCCAGAAACATGCAGCACGGATTGGTACCCTTTGGCAAGTGGTGTTGTTGGCTCTTTAGTCCTAAACCCCTTGGCTTTTATTTCTAATACTAAATTCCTAATCCTTGTTCAACTTCAGATGGTAGATTTCTGAAATAAAGAGGATAAAACTGAAGTCATTTTAAATATGTTTGGACACAAAGCAGACAGATGACAGGTGAGGTACAGAAATGCAAGGTGTTTCACATGACATAAATTCCAGGGATAAACTATTAAGTAAATGGTAGTAAAATAATGTGCGTTGAAAATGAAAGACAATTAATTGAAGCCATTACAGCAATGTTCGGTGAGAGTGAGAAAAGCAAATCAGATGCTGGGATGAATTAAGAGGTCAATTTGTGAGCTAATTCTGCTTCTTTATTAATCATTGGTGCAACTGCACTTGCTTTACTAGTTTACACCACAGTACAAAAATAATTTTGCTGCTATTGAATGGGTACAAAAGCTGGCAACCAGAATAATTAAGAGGCTAGATGGTTTGGATTATGAGCAACAATTAGAAGAATTGGGTAAGTTATTACGGGAAAAACAAAGGTTAAGAAAATATAAATATTTTTCTTTGGATTCTAAAGACACTCAATATTTTAGACCGCAACCATTACTGTGAAATGAGTAAAACTAGACGACAGAGTCTGTACCTGAAGGAATATAAATTCAAAATGATGCAGCAGAAAAATTTGAACATAATTTTCTGTACCAGTGAAAATAATGTGTGTGTATTCAATAGCCTTGCCTCTGCATGTTTAGCTTTATAAAGTTCTCAAGTAGCAAGTTGCTGAGGGTACTAACTGATAAGGTCACAGTGACAAGGGCTGAGCCTTTAAAACCTCAGGAAAGAGGGCAACTAACTCCATCTCCTTAACCAATAAGTTTGCAGGATTGTGATATTAACTGCGCAAGGACTAAAAAGGAAGAGTAAGTTAGGAGTGGATGGATTCAGTGCAAAATCAGGTAGAGAAAGATTAAATTGAGAGACAAGTGGAAAAGCCTGAATGTCAATGTAAAAAAAAGCTTTTATTTAATTTTACATTTTTTAAAATGTCCAACAATTAAAGCAATGAGACTGTACACTTTTATTAGTTAGGTTTCAGAGCCAGAAAGAGTGCCTGACAGTGATACACAAGCGGGACATATTGCATGTTAAAAGTGTACTTCAACTGAAATATACAGACTCGATTTTTGGTGGTGAGCTAAGTTTGTGTCTATTGTAAAATACAACTTCACACAATTCCATAGTAAGTGGTGTAATTTGGAGAGACCTTTTAGAGTTTTACTGCAACTCTCCCTTTCACCTGAATTTATTGCTCCACCTACATATATATGATAGTGAGAACCATTAACCTCTCAATCATTTTGACAACAAGTTATGGCCCATTATATCAGAGAATCGTTAATCTATGAAACAAAATCCCCAGGGAGACAGTGGAAACAGAAAGTATTGATTTATTCAGATAGAACTTGATATTTTTCAGGAAATGATCATTATGAATACAATATAGATGCATAATTTGAGATGTGACTTAGGTCTGGGGAACAAATAAGCTTTGAATATGACCCCCAAAGTTTTCCATCTCTAGGGCTTTTACTGCTTCTAATTGTATAAATTAAGGTTAAGGTGAAGCGCACGTATTGAATGATTATTTGTGCACATAGTTCAGTGATGCCTCTTTCTGTGTTCTTTCAACAAGTAGCTTCTTAGGAGCTCTCGATTAGTATAATGGTTAGTACCCACTTGCAACCCAAGAGACCAGGGTTCAATTCACTGATGGGATGAAGCTACTTTCTACATAGTTACCCGTTGTCAATGTAGTTAGCTTCC